AATGATGATGGAGTAGAATAGTTTGTAGGGTTTACTTGTTCCGGTATGTGATAGTCCAAGCATGCCTTTTTTGCCCGTCTTGGTTTGTAGGTGATACGTGGTTTTCAACTCAGACATCACCGCTGATTGTGTCTCCGGGGCACCAACACTGAAGAACGCGGGGTGAGCATCCATGAGCATCGACCGTGTCGCTGTGGTGCTGATATTATGTTTCTGTTGTTTTTTTGACAATTCATCGCATGGCTCGTCTAATTGATATTCGTCGAGGATAACATGTTTTGTTTGATTTTCTTCCTCAACGCCTAACAGGCGATTGACAGGGAAACAATAAACATGATAGTCCTTGTAATCCGTTACTTGAATGTATTCGCAGTCCCATCTAGTCAGACAAAACATATGGAAAAAGACCGTCCATAATATTTCTTTCGCTTCTTACCTGTCATTTTTATTTCCATCACGATATAATTCCAATCTATCGATACCTTGCAAATCTTTCACACTGCCAACTTCGAACGAATCTTTGTTCCCACTTTCGAAAGGATCTCTGTTCATAACTGAGACTTTTAATTGTATTGGCTCGGATTCATTACCTTGTTTATCATGTATTCGGATGAAGATCGGAGCATCAGCCTCCAATCCCAATCTCTTCTGAAGATATAATAATTATATTCTCCATGAATTACATACGGATCATGTAGCTGTTAGTGGCTTTCAGTCCGTTCTCAGTTAATACTTACGTTACCGAAAAAACTGCCTTTCTTCGTTTTCGTGACAATGTTGTATGTTGATTTGTATTCAGCTGATAGGATTCCATATTGACGAATATTGTCGTCATTGAGTGTCGGCGTTACTGATTCCAAATCTTTCTTTTTATGTCGTTTTCGTTCACTTTCTTTTGGTAGCAAATCGCAGCTTTTTGTATGATATTCTGTTAGAGAAATTCGAGCCACACCATCGTGCATAGTCTTGTTTAACCATCGGTCTACTTCATAACAAAATAATTTACCAGTTTTCAAATCGCTTAATTCAATCCATTCACAGTACCAACTAAAAGTGGAAAAACACTCATTTATCGTCCGACATACATATATTTATGAGGTATTCCACTAATAGATAACAAACGCTACTTATACACGAATGAGTCTACACGCTTTTCTGTCTTTAATAATTTATAAACAGCGTAGAGTACCTTATTATTTTTCGCAGTGAACGTCTCTATACTTTACCCAGAGTGCTTATCACCATGGTGAAACAACTCTAATAATTGTGGATCGCTTAGAGCAACCACCGAGCCAACATTAAATACATCTGTATTTCCACTCTCGTACGGATTTTTGTGTGTTTCCGATTTGTTTAAAAAAATATCTTCTGATACTCGATTATCTTTATCATGAATTTTTATGAAGACGTTGCTGAAATATTCAAAGTGAGCATAAGTAATCGATGTTACAAGTTAGCTAAAAATAACTGGTAGTAGCTGTTTTTCCGTCAATAGAAGAATTATGAAAATATCCATAGCTTACCCATTTGTTCCACTACGTAATTTCTTTCCTGTTTTCACACGAACACAATAATTGCTTTTGTATTGAGATTCTCTATTACTAATTTGAATTTGTTGACTATTTTCTTTCAGGTTAGAGAAATCAGAATCACACAGTACAATATTATCGGCAATGGCATATTCACAAGTCGTGGTATAAGGATCTTTTAATATCAATTTCGATACAATGTTATCTTAAAAGATCAAATTAAAAATATGTTTTGTAATCTTTATCTTTAATGACTTATCTGACGAATCATACAAGACTAGCAATAATATTCAGTGTTACTTTATCTGAATGTAAGATCTAATTTGTTGTAAATTTATGTTTTTTTGTACTGACCGTAAAGCTGTTCCTCCAAGGGGGAAAAAGCAGTATTAATACCGAAAAAAATGCGATACACATACTACTCACATACCCAAATATCAATTAAATTTTTTACCAAATACCCATTTGAAACTTCTGTTCCCCAAAACAGAACAATCCTGTTCTTTTTATTCGGAAATGTTTTCCCGGATAAATGAACAATTGTGTTCTATTTGGGGAGTTCTTTTCCTACAGATAGAATCCTTTTGTTCTACTTGTGGGAATAGCCATCTGGGTTTCTGGAGATCTCCTAGGAAGCTGGTTTTTGAGATCTCAAGAAGTTCTCAAATGAGCGTTTTAAGCAAAAAACAAATGAGTCATCTTGGAAGAGTAGCGAAAATATCGGTCACATACCGAACAGCTTTTTACATACCGAAACTACTTTTTTCTCCTTGTCTTTCTCTAAATTACAGTAGTAACATGAGGTAACGATAGGCTCGCTAACCACGTATAAAATAAAGTATACTATGATAATAAAGCCAAAATTCGATTGTTTTCTGTGCTTATTTGAATTAAAGACATTTTGATGAAAACATTGAAATTGTATAACACTTTTCAAGAAGCCTTAAATATTTCATTTCTGGCATAAGCCACTGTATTGTATACTTTTTTGAACGTACGAGTAATGTATTAATTTGGTGAGATGAAAAAATTAAAGCTCTTAGTTGAAACTCTCATCATTTTTGAAAACACTAAAAAATGAGTTTAGTAAATTGCACGTCGTAGTTCATAATTATCCAAAGGAAATACTCAAAACATTTCATGTCAACAAGATTTGTTAGAACAGCTTTTATAGACATTCTAAACACTACTATAATTTCTGTTAAAAATAATATAAATTATACAGTTGATGCATTGCTATTCTAAGAACATCAGCAATTTAATAATACTGGAATGGAAACAACTGACTCGAGCTGCCTATTATCAATTGTTGATGTCAAAAGAAGACAAATATGCTAAAATTTTCTCAAAAATTATATTTATACAGTTGTGTTGAGCATCTTTCGTATGACTATCATTAATCTTTCATGTGTATGTTTTCTCACAAGCTGTCTCTGAATTGATCAAACTGGATCAGTCAAATGACATACCTTCTGTTGATGTTAACATTTTCTGAAGTGGAAAACATCGAATATCTCCTGTTGATAAATCGATAAGTTCGATCCATTCAACACACAAATGTCCACGTTTAAAATTATAATAAAATTCAATCTGATGTAAATTATTTATTTTCACAGGTGTGTTTATTTCGAATGTATCAATCTTATCCCGTTCAAATGGACGTTGATTTGACTCATCAACGTTCTCATTCACACTTTTATCTAATGAAATCATTTCCGTTTCATGTTGTTTACCAAAGAGTTTAATATGAAAATTGGCATCATTGGATAATGTTGATAAATTTGTTTTTATTCTCACATGATAGTAATGATTTTCAAAATTTCCGCCACTTTCCCTGATCACTTTATCACAAGAAACATGTTGATAATTTGCAATACTAAATCGAATAGTCGATGAATCGCGATTCTCGAAATCGTCTTCATCTAACCATTTATGTACACTGAAACATTTTACTTCACTCGTTTCCTTATTTTTTATTTCAATATAATCGCAATACCATCTACACAATCAATGTACAATAAAAATTTCACTAAAGTATTTTACTTTGGAAACTCACCCATCCTTTTTACCATCATGCCAGATATCGATTCGATCAATTTTATTAATATTTGTTCGTGTGGGTATTTCAAGTTCAAATTTGTCTGTATGGTGACGTTGAAATGGCTTTTTATGATTTTTCGAATGTTCTAGTTTTACTGGTTCAGTCTCCTTGCCGTTTTCATATAATTTAAGAAAAACATTTGGTGTATCTTTTCCTACTATACCTTGCAAACTTTTATCCGCTGTTTTTGTTCTTATTTCATACTCAGATTGTTTAACATTTGATTTAGTTCGAGGTAATTCAAACATTGTATTGTGTAAATTTTTACATGAAGTATTGGATACTGTAGTTAGCGTAATATGGATACGTTTATCATCTTCGCCTTTATCAAGCCAACGTTGTACAGGATAACAATATCTGAATTTTAGTATTTCATGTAATATTGAAAAAATATACGGTCTATCAGGTACTTACGCTTCATCAGTCTGCTCATCAATGATTTCAAGCCATTCGCAATACCATCCTAAAACGAACAACACGTATATAACAGATTTCATATTTTATAATATAAAATTTTACAACCTTGATATGCTGGAGCAGAATGCCAAATTTCAACGCTGCCGTTATGTAATGAGCCTAACGGTTTATGCGATATAACATGAAATTCATCGATAGCTCCAGGTAGAAAATGATGTTCATCGTCCTCTTCTTGTTTCAAACGTAAATCTTCCGAGTATTGTTGTTTATCATCGATTAATCGAATATGAATGGGAGTTGTTGAACCAGCAGCTACTTGACTACCTAAACACGGTTAAAAACGCTTGAACTATTTAACATTTCAATTTCTCATTATATGAGCAGAAAAACAAACAACAAGTTCACAATACCTGTTTTAGTGCGTATTGTATATTTTCGAACATGTTTCTCTTTTTGCTTTTTCACATCACCATTATCAAACGATTTTCGCCTTGTTAGAGATGTTTTTGATAATTTCGATTCTCTTTCAGCTTCGTCCTTCTTCTGGTTTGCTATCTCATCGCACGATTGCATATTCACTACGAACTCATCGAGGATGACATGTTTCGCTTCATCACTAGCCAACACATGGCACACCGGGAAACAATATCGATCGCCCGTTCTATTCTCGGTTATCTCCACAAACTCACAATCCCATCTAAAGGCACACACGACCTGATTAGTCGCGTCAGCAAGTGAAAAATATCGAACCTATCGTGCTTTTCTGCTTCATGCCACAGTTCCACTTTCGAAATACCATCGAGATCTTTGACACTACACACGACAAACGCGTCATGATAGCCAGATTCAAGCACGTGCTTATGATGATTGTCGCGTTTGAGTTGCATTGGCTCAGATATCTGTCTATGGCTGTCATGCAGACGAATAAATATCGGCACGTCTGCACCGGACCGTTTGTGTTCGAAGAGACCACCTTTCGTCACCACGTTGTACGTTGATTTAATCTCAGTGAGCGGCGTACCATCTGACTTCTCTGTTCGTAAAACGGTTGGTGACGTTCGAGCAGTGGTATTTTGTGATGCTTTTGCTTCTTCCTTCAGTATTTCCTTGCACGATTTCGGAGTATTCTTCTTGTATTCTGTCAATATCAAGTGTTTCTGCTCGTCTCCCTCGTTCACGTCTAGCCAGCGATCAACAGGGAAGCAGTAGATATCTTGGT